CGGACTCGCTTTCTAAACATTTGAAGCCGATGCCTGCATGATGCCATTTACTGCACATCATCATCTAACATAAAACACACATCAGTACAGCAGCACTAGTCTTTACAAAAATAATCCGTTACAGTTATACCCTAAGAAAACATAAATCCAACTTTTTTAAAAGCGAAATTGATTCCAATCAAGATCTTTTCAACTCTGACTGTCAAAGATTCGAAACCTAATACTCCTACATGGCCAACCTTTTGAGGCACGGTTTAAGTTTTTATATTGCCCTGAGCAGCATAACTTTCCGAGGAGTCAAATTTTGAGTAGAATCAACAAAACGACAAACCTAACAGTTTCAAAAATTTCCGGTTTATTCCTCTCCTGTATCTTCATTCTGTCTCGAATCACAGCCATCAAATTCTGTGCCCGATCACCTTCTCCATGTTTGGAACTCTTCTCCGCTGCCCCTAAATTCCGTGAAAATTTTGCATTATTAAAACACATACACACATCATAAAAATAACAGCACTTTTCTTAGTTCCTACTCAGTATTGTCGAACAGCTAGTGCCAGTGAAAATAAGTTCAAAAATCTTTCAGAAAATTCGCAGAAATCCGAAATTTAGCTTTAACAGAAACATACTTCGCAACGAATTTCCCTTACTGCTGCCCTTCACTACCTCATATCTCCGTCAGTCTCGCAGTCCTGTTAATACTACTGTTGATACATTTCTAATTTTCTTCAACCCACAATTTAGCATTATATATAATGCTTAAATAAAGAAAAAACAAGTGAATGAATATATATATTTGTATATAAATGTTCTGGGGTATCTTTGTGCCGTATTACTTTCCATATTTGTACAGAAAATACTTTCTGTATTTGTATAGAAAATAATGCGGGACAAAAACACCCTAGATCATCCAGATGAGGTTATGTGAATTAGAAAGAATTTTTGATAAAAGTAAGAAGAGAGGGGGAAGTTGCTAGCTTCACTAATGATGAGAAGAAACGTGGCGTCGAAACACAGCGATTTTTTTTAAGCGAAATGAAAAGCCAAACATACTCTGTAAGCAGTCTGCGCTGATTAAATCACGACATTTATCATGCACTTTGACACC